GTGTGTGTGTGTGTACATACATACATACATATATATAATTTAATTTAATTATTTTGAGCCAAAATGAGCTGAACACGAACGGACAAGAAAAAAAAATTATTTGCGTTCGACAAGTTGATATATTGAGTTTTTTGTTTGACTCCTTTGCTTATAAAACGAATCTAACATGAGCTACTTAATGAGCCGAACACGAGCTGTTTGCGAACCATGAGCCATTTTGACTACCCTAGTTGGAGTGTTACGTAGCTCCTCAATATCTAAGCACTGCTTATCGTTCCTACTTTGGCATTTGAAAAGAACTATTCCATTTTATTCCTTCTCAATATAAATTTTAATTAAGCAATCTTGAAAATCTAAACTTTAATACTTATAGAGACACAAAACACTATTTTTATGTACACTTTTAAACATAAAATTAGAAAGTTTTAAGCTATCCCGAGTGTGCTAAAACCCATTTTTTAACTTTATGTATTCTTTTGTACATATAGTTAAGTCTCTTATTACCTTTAGCAACTTTATTCAATAGTTTTATGTAAGTGTTTTGGATTGGACTAAGGATTTTTTAAGTTATGTGTGATCTCTTCAAAGATGTAACTTAGTATTCGGTAAGCTCTTATGCATTATATTGAGAGTTATCTAACACTTTTTTCTTTCAAATTTAAATTTAAACATGCGTATGAAGTTATAAAGCATTTGATTTTATTCCATTTTATATATACTCTTGGATATAGAATAGATGAAAACTTGATATCTTGTAAGTTTGATAATGTAAAGTAATCCTTGAGGATGTACCATAATTTTATATATGCTCTTAAATACATGATTGAAAACAATCAACTGCTAAATCTTGATCTTATAAGCATGATTAGATATGGGATTGTACCCTATTTTTATTTCTGTTATCTATGTACATGCTTGAACAAAGAACAAATTAGTCTTCATATATTTAAATTATATTTTATGCTTAGGACTTTAACCTCATATATAGATTAATATTCATTCTATTTGGTATTTTCAATTAAACTACAACCCTTATTAATGAGATTTGCATCAATCTTTATCCTTCTAAATTTAATGATCACTTTGTGGATATGATCTTGCAAAAACTTTTCCTTCTTATCTGATACAATAATTCATCATCTACCTTATAACCAGTTACACCATAAAACATTTGCATGTCTACTTAAATGTTGTCCTAGTCAATTCTAGACTTTAAATCTAGTATCTTAACTTAATCAAAGAAATAACAACTAATTAAAAATAAAAATCTCCTTTAACTTTATAAAAAAATATGACTATAGATTTTGATAAAATGCTCTTGCTTTTTACTAAATACAAAAAACTAGAAACATTGGTTCAAGCTCAACCTTTTAAATATTCCCATTGACAAGGACACCCTTATTTGAGGACTTGTTTATCGAGAAAACTTATTTATTGCTTTTTGGGAATATTTTGCAACCTTCGTTAAAGTTTGAAGATTAGGCTTATCGTTTTAAATTTAAGTAGATACCCTTGAAGAGCATGTGACGAGCTACCATATATGATATGAGGACTTAGTGTCTTCTATGCATTTTTGCACAAGGTTCTTTATTTTGTGAGATTTTAAGGATTACACCATAAATTCACGGAAAAATTTTATGTTTGGACTCTGGATGTAGCTCTACATGCGGGTCCTCAATAATATATCGCCACGTGTATTATATCAGACTCATCTAAAAAAATATTAAAGTGAAACTGCAGACTCTGCAATAACTCAGAAATAACCTCACGGTGGGTTTCCCTTCAATAACCTAAAAATAACACCGAGAATGCTATTTCTGGGTTATTTCGAGGTTATTTAATTGAAATATATGGTTTCTCTTCAATAACCAAGAACAAATAACCTAGAAATAGCTTCCACGATTTTATTTCGGGTAGAACCGCGGGGTTAATTCTCAGTTATTGAAGTATAACATATGACTAAAAATAATCTCTATAGTTTCAATTCAATAACCCCTAAATTAAACAACATATTATTGAGGTGTGCGTAGAGTCACCTTATGAGTCCCAAAAGAAAATTTTTCCTAAATTCACAATATTAACCGTTTTACGGTACACCGATAAACCAGCTAACCCTAAACGAACAGACTTTGGACTAAACAACGCTGAGCGGAGCAGGAAAGCAGCGATGGGGAGTTCGAACACGGCTGGAGGCGTCGCCAAGGAGGAAAACGGGATGCCTGATGGAGGAGTTGATGGTGGCGGCTCCCCGGCCGAGACGCCTGCTTTTTGCAAGTTCTCGGAGGGTGAGAAGGTCCTCGCTTACCACGGACCTCGCCTCTACGAAGCCAAGGTTAGGGTTTCACTCCACATTTCATTCCTCCTTTCCTATTCTATTGTGCTCTTTTTGTCTTGGAGTTTAAAAGTTCCGGCTGCATATGTAGTTTTTTTTTTTCGGAGATTATGCTGGTCTTAGAAGGATGAATATGGAAATGGTTCGTTCATATCCAACCCTAGCGTTCTTTTGGAAGCTCTAGAATTGGGTTTTCAGTTGCTTAGAGTGTGATGCGTAGCTTCTTGAGTTAATTATGCCTATGTATTAGTGGGTGGTGAGACTTGCAATGCTCTATGGTGGAGAATATTGGCCTTTAAAAGAGAAGCATACAACGAAGTTAAGTGTTGTAGACATGAGAATGCTTAGGTGGATGAATGGCTTGACACTTAGAGACAAAATGGTAAATCATTATATCCGTGATAGAGTTGGTGTAGCTCCAATGACAAATAAAATTAGAGAGAGTCGTCTTAGATGGTTTGGTCACATTAAACGTCGGCCATCTGATGATCCGGTTGGGAGAGTGGATGTTTTAATATTAAGAAAAATAGAGATAAACCTAGAAAGAATTGAGCTTATTGTATAAAAAATGATTTTAATTTATTAGAATTAAATGAAAATATGTTTCTTATTAGAGATCAAACATTTATTATGACTCAATATAATCTAGTGGCAAAGAGTGATTTTTTAAGCCCATAGGTTAGCAAATCCAACTTATTTTTATTTAAGAGGCATTTACATTCATGCCACATAATTCCTATGTATCTGCATATCTAACACCCAAACTTTGATATTTGTATGCATAAAACTCATATTTAATGTTGAAATACGTGCATTGAGTGTACGTGCATTGAGTGTACGTTCTTTGCTATCTAAAAGTTGGAATGTTGTCATAACTGTTGGCGTGTCTTATGAACCAAATAAATTGAAATTGAATGATTTTAGTCCCTGCCCTAGATGATGATATCTGATGATGTGAAACAAATACAATCCTTTTATTTTATGCTTGGTAAACTAATAACAAAGGATATCTAAAATAATAAGCTCGAGATAGACATATTCAAATTATAAAATAATAGTACATACAAACGCCATCTTAAAAGTGAATCTCGCGTTCATTCGAGGAAGTGCTGACGCTATTGTAAGTCAAGATGAATGATGAAAGATTCTTGCAAATAAAAGTAGGAATAATGACAAAATAAAAAGAATAAATTATGAATTTTATTACAAAAGATATTCAAGTTGCACTATTCCTTATTGCTGGTAGTGTAATTGATTTGTGGATATCGGCCTTTAAGTGCATATTCCTATTGGACTTAAGTGAATTTTTTCATTCTTAAAAAAAAAGTGTGGAAATATAAGGGGATCGATCTCTTTATTAATTGGAGACAATTTAGGAAACTCCTTAATTAATTTTATTTTCTTCCTATTTTTTTTTATTCTAGAATAATTTTCTTTTCATGTTTAAGCCATATATATTTGTTAATATTGTAAATTAGGAGTGATCAATTTACTTATATATGTAACCTTATGGTTAAAAATTGAATAATAATAATTGTGAAAATTCCCTTTTAAGTTTTTTTTTCATGGTATTAGAGCTCTAGGTTTGATTTAGACGAGATTACTTTCATCGTCAAACTTAGATTTGATTGCTCGTCTGCATCATTCATCTCGATCATTACTGCCAAACACTTCGACTGAATTAGCATTGTCTGTCTCTTGTTGTTCAAATCAGTCGTTTGTCTACGCTGTATGAATCATTTAAGTTTTGTCATTCGAATCGCCCGTCCAAAACACTGTTCATTGAACTTTATCCTTAAATGTCTGTTTGTCAGCGACAATTTGATCATCGAACGTACTCCTTGACCTCGTCTTTGAAGCCTGTCTCACCGATAATTGTCTTTTCTTTCTTATTGATTCATCCGTTCCTGGAAATGAGGATCTGATCATCAAGCACCATCGACTTCGACTTTGAAGCTTCCATAACACCATTCGAAGGTTCCTCCTATTGCATTGCGTTTTGCTTTGGTTAGAGCAAGGAAACAAATCCGAACTCTCCTTTCTCTGCCAGGGTCTCTCCCTACGGCCGCTAGTCATTGTAGGCCCTCTGTCAGTACCTCTCCTTGCAGTTGTCTCATTGTTGGCGTCTACGTGCTACCGTCTCTCTACAGGCCCTTTATCAGTTCCTTGCCTTGCAACCAACTCCCTCTAGTCTTCTCCTTGCAGGTGCACCCTCTCTTTATCTTCCACCAGGGCAGATGAAAGTAACAACAACCTCTCAACCATAGGCAAAAACCAACCAGCAGTCGCTGGAATCTCCTTCCTGAGCAAATAGAGGAGCCACAAGAATTCTGCAAGCCTTCTTGGCCGTCCAGCCATTTGTTGCTTCGACAAGCAATAACCAGATCCTGCAGCAAGCAACACAACAGTCAGGAATTATTTTCAGCCCTAAACGTGCATAGGGTTGATGACTGGTTGCAAAAATTTTCACTCAAGCATATGGGATTGACTATTAGGAAATTTTTGCACTAATTGCCAAACTGAACATTATCAGTGTTCTCCTCTCAGTATCAGTTAATAGGGAGTGGGGATTGCATCAACTTGACATAAAAAAACTTCATTCTGAATGGGGAACTTGGAGAAGTATACATGGAGATACCACCAGGACTTGAGAATTATTCCTACAAACAACTAGTATGCAAACTCAAAAAGTCAACCTATGATCTTAAACAACTATCAAAAGCATAATTTAAAAGGTTTGCTAAAACTATGAGATCTAATCAATATTTTCAAGGTTAATCTGATCATACACTGTTCATGAAACACACTCAGGGATATATGTTTGCTGCACTAGTAGTATATATGAATAATATGATTTTTATTGGTAATGATGAAAATGAATTCTTAAAATCAAAGAAATGCTTGCGGATTAGTTTGAAATCAACGACCTAAAAATTATGAGATATTTCCCGACAAGTCCAAGAAGGGCTTGTTATATCACAAAGGAAATACATCCTAGATTTGCTAAAGGTGACGAACGATTGGATACAAACCCGCAGATACTCCAATCAATCTAAAAAAAGAAGTCTATTAGGCCAAATATTGTATACTCTGTCAGTACTGTGAGACAACATATAAATAACCCAATTGTTTGGAGATCATGTACAGGATCCCGATGTTTCTCAAGAAGACTTTTGTTTATGGATTATTGTTTGAGAGAACTATAAATGTAAATTTCTAAACTGATGCAAGTTGGGCTAGAGAACTTACTGATAGGTCAATCACATGTTATTGCTTCTATGTATGGGAAAATCTAGTAACATGGAGAATTATGAAACAAACTTTTGTCTCTAGAAGTAGTACAAAATCAGAATATATGTCACTTGCCTTAGGAATCTGTGAAGGGATCTTGATTCAAAAATTGTTGAGGGAATTGGGTGTACCTTTGGTAGGCTTATACAAATACTTTTTGACAGTTAAGCAACTATCAGTATTGCCAAGTACCCAATGCATCATAGCATGACCAAACATATTGAAATTGATAGACACATTATCAATGAAAAAGTTAACTCTGTAATTATGCAACTAAGCTACTTCTCGACGCACCAACAAGTTACCGATGTCTTCACCAAAGCACTTGCGTTAAGCAACTTCTCAGAGTTCATTAATTGGAGACAATTCAGGAAACTCCTTGATTTGTTTTATTTTCTTTTTATTTATTTTTATTTTAGAATTATTTCCTTTTAATATTTAGGCTTGATAGAATTGGTAAGATTGTAAATTAGGAGTGACTGATTTACCTATATATGTAATCTTGAAGATTGAATAATAAGAATTCTGAAAATTTCTTCTCAAGTTTTTCTTTAATGAGTTATTCTGTAAATAATTATGACAATGATTTTTGCTTATGATAAGCCATTATATATTGTCGACATTCGTAGCTTGGTGCAAATTATAAAGTCCCATGAGAGCTGAGCAAGGCTAAACATATTTCTGGCCCTAAAAAAATGATTTATACAGGCCATCTTTTACTAGAAGGTGATGCCACCTTCAATATTAACACTTGAAACACAGACTAGGAATTCATGATGCTTGTCAGGCACAATAAAACTCGTACACTCCATAGCACCACAATTACTAAATATTGGGAGGTGCATCTTATTTAAATATAGAGCTGCAAAAAATATAGATATGGAGGTCTTTCTATTTATGTTTATTTTAGAATTATTTTTTTTCCACATTTAGGCTAGCTAGAATTGGTAAGATTGTAAATTAGGACCGATTTACCTACATATATGTAATCTTGAAGATTGAATAATAAGAATTCTAAAAATTTTCTCTAAGTTTTTCTTCAATAAGTTATTCTGCAAGTAATTATGACAATATTTCTTGCTTATGATAACCCATTATATATTGGCGACATTTGTAACTTGGTGCAAATTATAAATAGTCACATGAAACTTAAGCAAGGCTAGACATATTCCTAGCCCTAAAGAAATGATTTATACAGGCCATCTTTTATTAAGTGGCGTTGCCACCTTCAATATTGACACTTGAAACACAGACTAAGAATTCATGACGGTTGCCAGGTACAATAAAACTCGTACACTCCATGGCACCACAAATACTAGATATTGGGAGTTGCAACTTATTTAATCATAGAGATGCAAAAAATATAGATATGGACATTTAGCATTAAAGATTAGAACCTGCAAGTGAAATGGCTAAAGATCATGCATTATTAAGTCAAACTTTCATGTTTGAAATCTGTTGAATCTAGCTTTGTGAAAGATTTTAATGTAGGAAAACAAAGAAGGGTTAGTTTCTCAAAAATCTTGGAGATAACTCAGGAACAAAGTAGCTGAAATTGGTTTACATTGGTTTGATGTGCTATTTCACTTTCATAGATGACTAACCAAAAGTTGTGTTTGTTTTAGCAAAGAATAAATTCGATGTATTTACTACCTTTGTAAGCTAAAGTTTTTGGTTGAAAATGAGACTAGTGTGAAGCTTAAGCTTTTGTGATGTGAAAACAATTGAGTATAGGATGGTATATTGTTTACTAAATTTTTTTGAAAAGAATGATTTTAGGAGTTTTCTAACAAAATAAAATCACTGAAAGAATGAACAAGGCTTTGAACGATAGGGCTAGCTGCTCGGAGCATGATAATGCATACAAGATTGCCATGCATTAAACATAATAGAATACTTTGTTAATCAAGCACCATTTTTAGTGCTGCATTTTGGGCTTCTTGAAAGGGCTAGACTAGAAAGTAGGTATGTTTATCTCATTTTGAAAAGTTTTGATTGTCTTCTTATATGCATATTGATTATAATGACAAAAGCAAGCTTGAACTAAAATTTTAGAAGTGCTACTTTATTGATTATGATATTGATGATCATGGCTACATATTACGGGTGTTTAGAATAAAAAGATTATTGGAAGCAAAAATATTACTTCAAAATGAAATTATAATGCCCAAATATAAATTAAGCACAAATGAAAATGTGATCTTTATTATTAAGAAGCTGAATGGAATAATCCATTAATGTTGATGGAAGGTATGAAATACTAGAAATTGATCAAAATTCTTAAACTCAACTCTCATTTGGCAGAAGTTGGGAGTAGAGATATTAACGAGTCGGGTCGAGCTCGACCCTTCTGTTAAATTGGGAGCTCAAGCTCGAATGGTGAGCTCGAGCTTCACTCATATTGACTCGCGAACTCAAACTAAAAATTCAATACAGGAGCTCACTAGAGAAGGAAACTCACCGGAAAATGCATCGAAATGACTAGCTGTGGGCTAACCGAGTTGGCTCGCGAGCCATCAAGCCGAGCAGGGTCGAGCGCGAGCTCATTCAATAAACGAGCTCAAGTTTGAGCTCGAGCACGTGGCTTGATAAGCTCGTCTTGTGAGCTCGTTAATTAGCCGAGTTTGAGCTGGCTCGCGAGCTGGCTCAACTCATTTACACAACTAGTTGGTAGATTACAAAGAAATTTAAACTCTTTTATTATTTTTCTTATAGTATTTGTTTCTTATTGTTGCAAGTAAACCTTTTATGAAGAAGTAATGATATATTTAATGAGAGCATGTAATGAAATATGGATTCTCTTTAAAGAAATGGCACTTGGACTTTGAGTATGTTAGGCAATGACTGAAAAATTTATAAATTAATGGATTCATAACTTCAAGGAGAACTATAATATTAACAAAAAGGTCGTCCGAGGTTGGTAAAGAAAGGCTTCCAATAGAGAGAAGGAATTGACCTAATTGAAGATTTCTCTTTATGTAGTCGACAAGTATACATTTCATATTGAGCATTATAACTATTAGAAGACTTGTATCTAGAGTACATGGATTCTAAAGATTGCTTTTCGCCATGGTGTTATAAAAGACTATATCTGTATGGTTTGTTTTATAGTTCAAGAAAATTATATTTCAGTCTATAAGCTCATCAAAACTTCTATGATAGAAAGCAGACCTTCATTGCTATGTAGAAGGGATTGAAAAGTATTGTATAATATTGCTTTTATATGATATTGGCATGATGATTACAGGGTTTATCAACAAAATTAATGATATGAAATGCAACTGTCAACAAAATTCGATATGAATGACCTTGTGGAATCCAATAAAATTTTTGAAATTAGAGTTGATTGAGATAAAACTGCAGGTATTTTTGAGCACATCACAATCTCAATACATAAACAATGTCTTGGTTATAATGAAAGCAAAGATGTTGAGCATATGATTTGCAAGAAACTTCAAGTTCTCAAAGAATAATTACCAAAGGGAAATGCTGACTGGGTGAAGTCCTTACACATCAACAATTGCCGCTTTGATGTGTGCAATGATTCGACAAAGTCATATATTACAAATACATTATGATCTATCAATCAATACACATCAAATCAAAAAAAGAATATTGGAAGGATTTAAAGTGGATTTGGTTCTATTTGGAAACTACAATTAATCAGTCAAGAAACGTTTGAAAGTGCTGATTTGTAACTACAAGGATATTTTTATATAGATCAGGGAGGAGGCCTAGATACTTGGTGGAGTGCTACTATAAGAGCATCCACACTTTAGATGGTATCGCCATTAATTTGTTGTCACAATTACATATAGTTACAAATTCTGAACACATCTATCATTGAAGACAATAAGGAGATGTCTTGATTGTGCGGCCTTTTAGTAGAATTAAGTTAATCACAAGAAGATCAAAGTGTAATCACTTGGTAGAGTGCTTCCTTCCACCCATGTACAAAACACATATGACTCAAGTATCAGTACTGGCATACTTAAAATTGATGCCATTTAACTTACCAAATTTGTAAGAGTAGATATTGGTACCTTCTTGAAAGTTTAGGTTTCACAAAGTCTTAGTTAACCTATTATTATTATGATATTTATGTTGTCTTACATAAAAATGGTCGAACTCTTACCACCAAGCTTGTGTATAAAAATTGTCTCCAAGTGGGATATTATTAGGATGTGAATATAAATTTCTTTATCTAGTTCTACAAGTTTCCTATCTATCTATCTCTGCCAAGGTGTTGGGATAAAGTTCTCAACTTAAAGTTCGTAACTCACCATCATCTGCCTAACCTCTACAATTATGTTGCCTACCACCCTTTATCTAATATTTACAAATTTACCACCTACCAACTTTAAGCATTGTATTAAAAAGAAGGTTACATGGTATTGAGACACTTTCCACAACCACAGGCAGGTAAATAGAAAATAGGGAGACAGAGATGGGGTGCCAACCTAGATAGAAGGGAAGATTTTTTAGGAGCTTGGGGATGAAAAATCTTCTATTTTTTTTGAGAAAAAGGAGATACTGCTAAGCATTGTATAAAAAGAAGGTTACATGGTATTGAGACACTTTCCACAACCACAGGCAGGTAGATAGAAAATAGGGAGACAGAGATGGGGTGCCAACCTGGATAGAAGGGAATATTTTTTAGGAGCTTGGGGATGAAAAATATTCTATTTCTTTGAGAAAAAGGAGATACTGCTAGTTTCAGATTCATCATTAGTAGTTTAAAATTGGACTCCAACACTAAGAGTAATGAAGCAGTAGCATCAACAACACTCTACATTCTTACGTCCAACCTTTGTTTCCTTAGTGGCATCAACAGAGTGATATTTTTATCCTTTTTTATATGGAGTATAATCTTTTGTTGTACTTATATTGAATTTAAGTGGCTAATTTATCTCTGTGTGTCTGATGACATAAACAGATCTAATCTAACTAAATAAATTTTTTGTGGGTTTTTGTTCATCTTTGTTATATTTGATATAACTTTTTATGCATTTTGGCTCAAAAAAAATTGCCTAATGAAGGCCTTATGCATGCTATCTGCTTTCCCTGTGCAGTTATGCTTTATGAAATTTTGAATTCAATAAATGAGTTTTAAAGTTCTGACTATGGGATTTGTTTTTGAAATAATGTTGTTCCTCGTGATGTTCTGGACATTTTCTTGCTTATCAAGGGGTTGTAGGATTACGAATTTAAGTTGGATTTAACTTTATTCTTGCCAGATGGAAAAAAAAAAAAATTTAAATCCATGATTTAGTAAATTCAATTTTTTTCAAGTTCTCATTTTTTTTTAATCTCGGATTTACTAAATCCTATTGTTGGTAGGATTTAGTAAATCTGGATTTACAGGATTTACTAAAGCTATTAAAGCTGTTACCATGCAGTCCCTAGGTGTGATTTTTTTTTTTCCCCATCAAATGGAAGCTGTATAGCTTGCTTTGCTTTCAGACCATGTAGCCTTTTTTTAGTTATTTTACTTTTGTTTAATATAATTCACATTATTTTTTGTTGTTTTTGTCTCTTGGGCATTCTGTGGCATTCTCCATACACGAGTCATAACAGGTGTGTATGCTGGCATGCCATTTATTGCTTGGCATGACCAGCTTTTACTGTAAGCTAACCCATCCAAACTCCAAAGCTATATTAAAAAATTGTCTTGTTGAGCAAATTGAGCACAAATTGCTGTAGCACAATGATAAGCATGCATTGACTGCCATCAGTCCTAATATGGCAATTCAGATGTTACTATCATAGTGTCCTCGCATAAGTAATACAAGTATCAGCAAACATGTACTTGCCAATTTTACTGACTTATATATGTTCTCGGTATTTTTCTTGCTTCTCTATTTTGCTAGCTTTCAATAATTTTCTTGCTCTTGGTTTAACTTAAGTGATTCCTTGCTTAAATATTTCTGACCATGTTATTTTTTCTAAGGTACAAAAAACTGAGATAAGAAAAGATGAATGGAAATATTTTGTTCACTATCTTGTAAGTCAATCCTTTTTCTTAAACTTTTCAAGTTGGCTTGTTTGAGTAACATTATATTAATGCTTATTACCTCATTTTTTGTTTCCTCTAGTTAGAAAGATATAATCTGATTTAAAATACTGTAATATTTCCGGCATTGTTTTTAAACACTTGGCAGGATTTGAGCTGTTTTTGGTAAATGATTTTAACTTTACAGGGTTGGAGCAAAAGGTATGTTTGAAGCCCAACTCCCTTGAGTTTTTTGTTCTATTCTTATATATACTAGCAGCAGGTACGTAATACCCATTATACTTATGTTTAGACCCAGAGTTTTTTAAGTTTGATGAAATGTACTTTGAATTTTGCAAACATGGAATTCTACTTGTTTGTTTTTTTTCTTAAACTTATGAATATGCATGGATACTATATTATCAAATACACAAGAAAAAAAAATGGATTTTTATTCATTGTTACTAGCAATTTCAAGTTTCTTCAATTTACAAAATTTTTTTAAAAGTTACTTCTGTAGAAGACTAATGACATATATTATTTCTTTTCCACATGGCGGGCAGAATTTAAAGATTTCCCAAGTCTGAGAAGAATGAGCTTTAATGTGTTTGTAGCTTGAATCCTTTCCCTTCGAACATATATGTTGGCTCTTTGCCATTTTTTTTCCTAGCACAGCATGCCTGCCTTTAGTTCAATTTTCTAAAGCTCAAAAAGCTTCTGAATGAAGGGCAATCTTAGCATAAATTCATTCTGACTGTCCAGCCAACGAGCATATGCTTTTATTCCCGTTGGTAGCTTAATGTTTTATAATTTTAGGCATGGGTTGTTTTTTTTTCTTGTAAGATATACCTTTTAAGTTTTCATCACAATTTTCTTTGTAAGCCCAACACTGCTAAATTTGGCATGAAATAAAGCCTTGCAAGGGCTATATTTTCATGCCAGTTCAGCAATGTTGAGTTTACAAATGAAAATTCTGATGAAACATTACTGATTTGGGAAGAACAAGTTAAAATTTGTATTTTATGATGAAATAAAAGGCTTGAGAAGAAGCATAAAATGAATCACAATTGGTTAATCGAATGCTTAACTTGAGCAAGTTTGATTGTGATTAATCACATTCTAACATAGGTTTTTATATTAGTTAATGTTATAGGCTTGTAATTGATGGTAACCTTTTTTTAGACACATGTCAATATAAACTTTGAGAATCTCAACTTCATCCATTACCTCTATATTAGAGTAATCTATTTTGCTTTTACCTGTGACTAAGAATTAACGTTATCAAGTCTTTCTATATTTTATATTTAAAACCAATTTTTCTTCATCAATATTGAAATTTTCTTGATTCAGAATTATTCATCTTCCTTCATCCTGCTGAATTACTGTATGCGACTGTTGTCATGATTTCTTCCTGCTTCTAACATTAGTTATGTATTGTTTGTTTTGGTATTGGCAAGTGTGCACTTTAACATCTTTTCTAGACAACATTCCCCTCTGATTCGCCCATGACCAATTCTCGGAGAGTTAAAGGTGGGGAAAGAATTAGTGTAATGAGGGCTGTGAAGGAAAATCCAAAGAGAAACTACCTTTAACCATAACTACAACCGTCTCCAGTTGGTAGCTATTAGCTCCATCTTTTTTTTGGCAAGCTATTCTTTCTTTTTTTCCTTGAGATAAAAATGCATTCTCAATATTCTAGGTCATATACGAAATTAATTTTTATCCTTCTCATCATTTGCCTCGTATTAATAATTTTTTGTTTAGCTTTCTGAATCTTTGTTTTATATTTATTTCTACTAAGTGCTGCATGAGTTAATTTTTGCACAACTTATGCTCAAGGTTCCTCCGGTTTAATTTATTCTTTTCTTTGCCAAAAGTTGTATACGTCTTATTGGTGTATCTTCTACCTTTTATTTTAAATGCCATAATCAAATTAGTCTATTTCGACTATTTTTTTTTAAAGATGTTTACTTCATTATTTTTCTAACATCATCATTTATTAATGTATACTTATTTAAATTTGGCCATTTTATTTTTCTCATATTTGCTACATTTACCATTTTTTCAATGACTTCTTTCCCATCAAACACTTAAATTCTTACAACATGAGCTTAATTGTAGTCTTGTAAATTTTACTTTAAATTTTCATGATTATTTTCTCATTGTGTGATGCTTTTGAAAGATTTTTCCAATTTAACTCTAACATCGTACCTCTATTGGCCCAGTTTTTACTTGTTTTTACAGACTAATTTGATTTCATCTATAAAAACGTAGCCCATTAAAGCAAACTATATATATATATATAATGCGATGGGTCTTTTTCGCTCTGCTAGGGTTTCCGCTCATGGCGAACCCTAGCTCGAAACAGACATCTGTTTTTGCTCGCTCATTTCACTCATTTTTGTCTTCGTCTTCGACTCTGGCTGGCAGAGTAGTTCGCGTCGTCGCGTCTTCTGCCGTCGCGTCGTGTGCGTCTTCTGCCGTCGCGTCGTGTGCGTCTTCTACCGTCGCGTCGTCTGCTCTCGTCTATCGCATCGTCTGGGCTCGCGTCTGTGGCGCTTCGCGCTGCAGGTTTGTTAAGGCTGCTCAACTGCTCCGCCATAGTTTCTGCTCGACTGCTCAACTGTTCGAGTATTGATTGCGCCATTTGCTGCAGTGCTTGTGTGAAACATGCTAAAGGCCATCGCCGGTGATAATCCCGCCAAACCCTCATATGCTACAGTGGTTCACAAACATAGCTCCCCTTTCCACCTTGTAGATAGTCCGAGATTCCCGCAGATGTACCATGATTCTGTTGCATTAAATGACGATTGTAATCTCATCAAATAAGTAGAGAAAAAGGCGGGCGAACCAACAATATTCTTCTCTGACGCTGAAATTTCAACTCGTGCAAGAAAATATAAATTTACACTAGTTGGAAAGTTCCAATTAGGTTGCCCTAAGATGGAGATCATCAGGAAGATTTTTGAAGATTTCAAATTGGTTGGGGATTAACAGGTGGGTCATTTCGACAGAAGGCATGATATGATACAGCTGTGCATAGAAGAAGATTACACGAGGATTTTCTCAAAGAAATTCATTACATTCGAGGGAAAACATATGAAATTGCTCAAATGGACCCCTAATTTTGATCCCAGTCGAGAATCATCAATTGCACCTATCTGGTTCTCATTACTTGAACCCAAACTTTAATTCTTTGACCTACCTATCTTATATGCAATTGGGACTTTCCTTGAAAAACCTTTACAGGTAGACTTACCTACAATTCATTTCTTAAGGCCCTCTATTGCAAGGATTTTGATTGAAAGAGATATTACACTACCAGATGTAGAAGAAGTCTGACTTGGATCTGCTTACAATGGTTATTGACAAAAATTTATTATGGAACAAAAACTTTACTACTGCAAGCACTGCAAGATGTTTGGATATCTGCAGGAGAAATCTTTCAGATTGTACCCATAGTTGAGAACCAGTGCATCCCATGTACCTAAATGCGCTCTCAACAAACCTGATGACAACCAACCTGAGGAGGGAATCACCATAAGACATGAGTTAGTGTCTGCCCTTGGGATCCCTTCTCCTGACCATACTACAATGGATAATCAATGGATACTACAATGGATAATGTTCAAACCAAAAATCAGGATAGTCTCGTAGCTCTTATTCAGGAAGCATCAGATGCAGAGACAACAATTTACACTTCACATACACTAGAAACTATTGCGGTAGCAACGACTGTCCTTCTACTACGATTCTAATATCAAATCAGACTGAGGATCACATGAGCCAATTTTCAGATGAAGAATGACAGATTTACACTTCTTTGTGGAAGAAGAAGGCTGGGGGCACATTCTAACTTGGAAACTTAATAGATGATACTTTAGTTACTCCTGGCAATGACACGACTCTTCAAAATTTGTTATCTGATTCCGCCCCTAAAACTAAAGGAAGGGGCATGATGAAACTGATTCGTCCCTAGCTACTTGTTTTCTGCATGTTTTAAATTTATTTTACTTTTTATTGAGTCTATCTGTATCTTTTTGTTGGGGTATTACTGTACTTGTATCGTATGGGTAGAGTGCTTCTTTTGGGCTCTCTCATACAACCTTTATATATCATTTACTGTACATGCATGCCACCTATTTTTTGAATCCATACTATCCAAATCTTTCATATCGCATAAAAAAATACCCCCATTTTAACTTAAAAAAAAGTGACATACATATTTTCATATATAGATAAGGTGACATGTTCGTAAAAATTGAAGTTTTGGAATAAATCATATGCACTCCACTATCCCATTTGCCACAATGCATTTCATGGCCTTTGTCGTGATGTGAATCATGCAATGCGCGATCATGGAACTTATTGAAGAATGTATTGTGGTCTTATTGACTTCAACATCCTTTGAAAATAATGGGGTACCAAGTAATGAAGTCATTTATGCCTTTTCTTTTGTGGAAGGATCTTATAAAACTCTCCATTTGTGGTTGGCTTTATAGGCTGACTCCTACTTATAGCAAATAGTAGGGTACCAAGTCATAAAGTCATTTATGCCTTTTTTATTGGAGAAAATCTGATTTGAAAATATAATTCAAATTTGAAATTGTACTTCTTATCCTAACTCAATTTATATTCTTAGGTTCTGTAGTATTTATCAATTGGTACTCAAATTCTTTACAATTACATAATTTGAGGTGCATTTTACCCAAAAAACAAAAAAACAATGAGTCTCCTCATTATCCTATGGTGAGGTGTATGGGCTCACCCACCTATATTGAGGTGTACTTGCCTCAAACATGCTCAATCACCTTTCTTTTTTAATATAGATGCTATAAAACACTATTTCCGTTCTGTTAACTCACAGGCCTCACATAATCAACTCAAGCATCCTGAATGTTGTGCACGAGAGAAAGATGCAAGCCACAATTGATGCGAGAGCTTACTGCAACAAATTATTTTGGCATCGTAGCTGCTACGGTACTATAAGAATAGTTATCACGGGAGATGCACCGAAATATTTCCGTTTTTCTTTCTTATACTTTTTTTTCCTAATATCATTCATTCATTTTTAGTTATTTCTTATATAGGTATTGTATTGGGATTTGAAAGTTATTTTTTCGTTCGTTTTGTTGAGGATAGTTACTGACGCCCATTTTCTCCCTATGAGGCTGAATCCGAGGGTTTGGGTGGTGCTTTAGTTGTATCCCTCACTTGAGATG